GTTCTCCATCTGTCACCTTTCTCAAGGACTATTGTGGCCCTGGTCTTTTCCCAAAGATCTGTCTCAACTGGAACTGCATTGTAAAATGAAGGGGTTGCAGACAAGCACATCCAGCACTTCTGACCTAGGTCAGGATCAGTCTGATTAATTAGGCTTTGACCCAATTCCAGTATTTTTAACATGTAGTTCCCTTTTCTCAATTGTTGCAGGGGCCTGTTCCCCCTTGGTTCTATCCCACTTTTTTAATGGGATTTTCAGGCATTTGTCTACAGGACTTGGGGTTGGCTTAGGTCCAGGGTATCAACCCCACCGATCAATAATGCATCTTTGATGGGAGCGGACCTGTCCCAAAGCATCTACACCCTGTGCCTTGATCCTTCCCTGTATCTTGGGGTACTCAACATCCCCGAATCCTCCCTCAAGGGCAAGGGGGGTCACTCGGGCATTCTCACAACACTGGGAACTATGGTTCAGGATACTATCACTCAGCAGACCCTTTGCCAATAACAGCCAAAGCCACAAAAAACTCATAATTGTCCTTTACACAGAACCTACCCAATCACAATTCCCTTAATCTACAAAATCGCCATGTCAGGAAGAAGGTTAGGGTTATACGTGACTTGGGAAAGGGCAATTTCAGTCTTAGGTGTGCCACAAAACCACCTCTATTTGTAACATACAATGTCCACAGACCTAGGACTAATACAGCGCTACAGAGAGCCTACTCCCAGGTTTCCTCAAACATAAGTGTCTCCAGTGGTTTCGTAATGCTCTCTGTCACAATCAATGATTTTTGACTCATCCCCTGCCTTTCTGGGGAGGGAGTGATTCCAGTAGAATGAATATCCAACACAGCAAATCACAATAAGGGCAAGCACACTCACTAAAGCAACTGATAATGCAGTTATAGCTATGTATGCTCGACTATCTAACAATTGGAAAGTTGTCTTCCTTCTCCAAATCTTCGGGCGTACGTAAAGACGTCAGTTTCCAGGGGTGATGCCAGTAAGGCCTCTTCTGCCCCATATGTAGTCTGCCCGTTGCCAGTAGGACAGTTATGGGGGGGCGCTTCTTCAAGTGTACCACTAAAGGACTGGCTTCATCCTGGTCTGTCTCCCAAGACTTGTCAGCAGCTGGCTTAACTCGAGTCCAGTGAATCCAAAACTTGGATTCCAACACTCTTACTGCAAGTGGAGAACACCTGACCACAGTATGCAGGCCCTTCCACTTGGGTTTCGGATTCTTCTCCTTTCCAGTGTTTTACCTATACTTGTCTCCCACCTGAATATTATGACTAGAGGTGCTCAGAAACGGTGGGCTAAGGGACACACAATATTAT